CAAAGGTCGTTTCTTTCTGCTTTCTTTTAGCTATTGTGGAATGTCCTTTTAATTTTGATAACCAGTGATCGTAAATATCATCATTGTGACGTTTATTGGTATGTTCTCCCCCAAAAATTAAGTCTAAATATTCAAATAACGATGAGGGAGAAAAGATTGAGGAAAGACTAATGAAAAATTCACTAAAAAGTTCAGTTATATATTAACTTACATATATAAAAGAAAATAGAAAATAAAGTAAGATGAAATAAGTAAATAAAAATTAATGAAAAAAGTATATAAATTCTCTCTTATTCTTATTTTTAATAATATAAGTAAATATATAAAATTTATGAAAATTTAAAATTTTTGTATTGATAAATACTGATATACAAAAAAATTAACTATATCCTTCTTCATTGCAAAGAGAGAGATCTCTCAGATGTTAGATCGGTGAAGATCAGAGATGGTGACGCAAGAAATGCAGGTTATCGCAGGCAAGTTTATCTAATTACTTATGATGTTTACGTCAACGTTTACTATGATTTACAACAAAATTGTAGCAACGACCTTCGGTGCAAAGGTAGACAGGGAGAGTTCGCAGAGAGAGAGGGAGAGAGAGCTGAGAGAAAAAGAGAGAGAGAGAGATATGGAGCGAAGAACCTTTGAGCGTGAGCGGTTCGCGGTTAAAAACTCCAAAGGATTCGGTCATTTATCACGGCAGGCCGCCCGCGGGAATGGAAAGAGAAAAGGGATACAATCCGCCGGACAGACTAATCGTGGACTAACTATCCACATATTATCTACAATAATTCCACGTTACCGGGAGGAAGGGTGGCCCAACAACCCCCGATCGTTCTTGCGTATCGGTACTGACCGACGATAGAACGCTTCGTCACGTTTCGCTTCTTGACTCGAGCAATTTTTGTCACGCCCTGAGACATGTCCTGACCTTACCGTGTAAAAGATGATAATAAAATGGTAATAAAATGGAAGAGATTGCTTATTATATATCAGATAACTAGCATGCGTGCGTAATTATTCCAGCACGAAATCTTTAAAGATCAAATCTTTAAATTTAAAACCTAAAAAAATACAAAACATAAATTATTTCATTCTTTAGAAAATTTCATTGTATTGCACTACAGAAAAGATATCTAAACTATTTCTTTAGATATAAATAAAAGAAGAAACAAAAATAGTTACAACTATCGATATAAAAGTATTAATTGATACACTTAACTTGTATTTTTCATTGAGCTTAGCGACTGATTTTTATTCTATTAAGGGTTAAACATTCGTGTTTTTTTCTTTACTTTTAATTTTGTTGCTTGTTACTCGGAAATCAGCTCGAGAAATGTACGTTATTATAGTTGACGCGTGCTGTAACTTGCGCGGAGAGTATTTTTGCGCGCGCGCGTGGCCGCTCGCGTAAATATATCGAACGGTCGGCCACAATTTTGAGGTTTGTCGCGCGTAAATAAAGTGAGCTCGACCGTGGAAATTAATTAGTGTACCAAAGGGCAAAATATAGGGAAAATTGGGAACGCTCACTTTGCAATTTAATTGGGTATTCATTTAACCATGCCTATACGCCACGTATAAGATTTGCATAATAGCGGCCGGCACTAATTAGCACGCTGGTGAGCAGATGTAAAACAATTTATTAAATAACTATGTAATTCGCGGCGCGAATTGCGGAATTATAAGTTTTTGTTTTCTCCCCCCTCTCTCCCGTCCCTCCCCCGTGGTTTTGCATCGCGTAATTTATTCACGCAAGTACGAACATGTAACAATTATCCCGAATTTTCGTTCGTGAATTTGAGATTAGCGAGATTATAACGGGAAAATAAACAAATTAGACATATTTTTTCAGATTTCACGAGTTCCGAACAAGACAATTTATTAATAATAGAATTAAGGATGTAACACTATACTCGCTTTTAAAGAAAGAAATCGCAATTCACTGTTTTATTCTTCGAAATGCAATTCATGTCGCTGCAAATAATAATGAATGAGTTATCGCGAATCACAATCATGGGCATAATAATTTAATATTATTAAAGCTTATTTTTCGCCAATAATTCGCTAGTTTCGAAACCGCGATAAAAGCCCGTCATGTCCATTTACGGACCCGTGGTTACGCCGGACGACAATTGGGACATATGGAGGGTCATTGAGGGAGTACGTGTTAGGGCCACACATAAAACGCCTTCAAATTATAGAGTAGGCCAAGGTCCATCCATCATAACTGGGGCCATGGGACCTACGGTCCCAGTGCACCGCCCCAACGTTTAGGTCGTTAGCAATTTCCTGCACGGGACTGTTTCCAAGCCCAAATTCCATATGGCCCGATAATGTCCGATAATACCGCCGATCAGAAAGCCGACGCGACGATCTCTGACTTTCTTCAACAATGTGACGGCGAAGTAATCTCGATGGTTCTAAATCTAAAATGATGTCCGGTTTCTAGAGAACTATTAGGCTGTACTTGAATTTTTTTTTCTTTCTTTTGTAATCGTTTTTAATATCGCAAAAGTTAATAATGCTAAGAAGGAAATACTTCTGAAAATATTAATACAATTTAATATTGTATTTAAACAACGATATTAGGGCCACACATAAAACGCCACATATCAATGCTTAATATAAATAATTAATAATTTGTTATAAATAAATAAATTGTCATAAAGTTCTTCATGATTATACCTTATATATATATATATATACACATACAAAGCATTAAAAAGATCTAGTCTAAAACATGCAATTTAATTTTACACTTTTTCTCTTTGATTAAAATTTTATAAATTTTCAGCGCAAAACGCTCAGACATTTAAATGCAATCTCTCATCTTTATCAATACGATATACATGATGTTGTTTATCACTGTCTTACATCAGATGGCGATAGCATACAGACGGTGTTTAAAGCATTTAACTCTCATGGTAACATACTTGATATCAAGTTTACTTACTAAATGTTGTTAAATACACGCAGCTGTGGGTAAGCCTTTATGTTCAGTAGATAACCCGTGAATATAACGGAAAGTATATGACCGATCGTAGGTGTCTAATAAAATACCCGAAATCAATTTCATCTTTCTTAAAATGTTATTAAATATACATTTAAAAGGATAGATATTTTTAATATAAATTAAGAAATTTAAACATTTTTGCATGTATTTGTTTTGAAATTTAAAAGATACAGTTACTTTTCGAATGTTGAGAATTACTGTCTAAAGAATAATTAATTACTTTGTAATAAACTTTATTGGTTTTATTGTGCTCATAAAAATTATAAGAGTTATGTTTAAAAAATATAAAAGACAATATTTTTGTCTAAACAAATAATTTTCATAGCACATTGAATTTAAATAAAAAAATATTTATGTATACATATGACAGTAAATAGATATCATTTCTCCTTTTTTTATAAGTTACTTTTCAGTTTAGGGAATTGGATGGGATAGAGAAATCCAAAACAGAATTTGGTAATAAATTTAAAATTAAATAAATTAGTTAAGATTTAGTAGGAACTGAATATCTTGGAACTTTATTCCAATATAAAACAAATGTTTCTTAATTTCTTATACATATAAATAATTCTTTAATTTATTTATCGCAGATATACAATAATTATAAAATTGATATTAAACTTATGATATGAAACTTACTTAACTGTTAAATCGGATTATAGATCGGACTTGTTAAATCGGATTATAGATATAAAAGAGTCATAGTAAAATATTGTAAAAGATATTAACTTCTCGAAGATATTTATTTTATATTTTTATATTTGACTATTTGCTTCCTCGAAATTCATATTTTAAAATTTTGATCATTTTACGCAATTTAAACGTAAGTTTTTATACAAATAGTATGTCAGCTTATACATAGTGTATAAATTATATAAATCGAAGTATCTAATGCCTAAATTCTAAGCAGAATCGTAAGACTCGTAACATAATACTCCTGTAAGACTTGTAAGAATTTTTAAGTACTTATACCTTTATATATAATATTTTCGCAGACAGCTTCTTACTAGCCATAAAATTTACAAAAAATCGTAGATATTTACGAATAATCATACGTCTTATGATACATATGCATAAAATTAGAATAGAATTCTTGTACAAATTTTACGAGAACACGTTACGAATCTTAGGAGTCTGCTTAGAATTGACCCACAAATGTATACTAAAAATGCCCAACTAATAAATCCATTATATATCCAATACATTCAATTTCAACCATTACTTCCCTTTGCATTGTGTTCTATAAGTAATTTTTTAAATAAAGAATTTAAATATGTTTGATAATTAGAGTTTAACAAGTTTTATAGATACTTAAACGTAACGTCAAAATCAATAAATTTTATGTATATATGCATGTATATGTGACATTGTTAATTAATTGTGTGATTTAAAATGCTTTATTTTGATGGTGAAATTAACAATGATGGAATTAATAATCAATTAACGATTGAGGTTTCTTATCTCGTACATTCAATAATGCTGTGTTGTTTTTGTACAAAATTTAATAATTTATTCTGACAATCTATCTTAGGATATTCTACGACAACGCCTGATAATCAATAATGTAATATTTATCAAATTTCAATAGCTATCTGTAAAAATAAACACCGCAGCATTCTCAGCGACGAGCGTTATCAAGAGATAATCTTTTTTTTTTTTATAAAAAGCCACCTTTTGAATATTTAATAAGCTTAATGTAGCGACACAAAATTAAATTTTATCGACAAAATTAAATACAAAATTAAATCTTTTTTACATTTTTTAACTGCAATTATTTTTTTTCTAATTATCATGTTTGACATTTCCAAATCATATATTTTAATATATTTAAATTACATATTTATTTTTACGTATTCAATATTGCTTAATTCAATATTACGTTTTTAAAAATGTGATTTGACGATATTGCGATTATGTAGTTCCCCAAAAAATAAATCTAGAATTAAATCCATTAAAAATGTAAACGGACGTAATCCTCAATGTGTTAATTATCGCTTTGAAGCTCGCTGGATCCCGTCGCATCTGGCGCTTTCTGCAGCTGCGCACTTTGGAACCTCTCGTATCCGATATTCGACTCGCCAAAGATCTTTCGGCCAGGAATCCTTTCGTCATCTTTGATGCTGACCTCCGTGCCGATTTGCACTGGCCAAGGCAGCTTACCCGAATCGTCGTCCTTGATCGTTATGAGATTGCTCACTTTCCGCTCGTTCACGCCTTCAAATCTGTCATTTCTCAAATCTTCCTTGGTGGACGCTCTGACTCGTGAATTATCCTCGGGATATCCGTATGAATGATCGTAATAACTCGACCTCTTTGTATAGGGATCATAACTGTTGTACGATTGTGTGTACCGATACTTGCCGGGATCGACGTTACCGGGTATGCGTTTATAGGTACCGTCTCGCGTGATCGACGTTCTGACCGCACCATCATATCGCGGGTAATTCCGCAACTCTACCGGTTTCCTCACGACTTCCGGCAGGGTAGCATAGTAGATGATCCGTCTAGGCTTCGGCGCGGGTCGGTTTCTGCCGTAGAGGTCGAGGTCTTCATCTCTGTAACGATCGTAACGATCGTAATACTGATCGCTCGGTGACCGCACGTAATAATCCCTTTCCATCCTGTAGCGATCGGGATATTGGCTGTATCCACGGCGATACTCGTAATCCCTCTCGCGTATTGCGTTCCTATACCAAGACATTGGGTCGTAATCATCATAGTTCCTAGTGACCGGCATATCCCTGGATTCGCGATAGTCTGGATAGCGTCGATGTTGCTGGCCCGTCACGAAGTCCGCTCTAGGTGCCTGATGCCTACGGTAGATGCTGGACAGAGCCGCAGCCTCTTCCTCCTCTTGTTGCTGCTGAATCACCTGATCCAAGGGAATGCGTTGACGAAACTCCACTGAAATTGGCTGTGCCGCGGTCGACCATGTTTCGGGGGAGTTCAAACGAGCTTCGCGCACGTTCTTCATCGAGATTTTCTCCATACTTGTTTCGTTCTCCGCTTGCCTACGAATACGTTGTACGATGCCTCTCGTAGCTTGCTCGTCGTCGTCATTGTCTTCCTTGTCCGCATGCAGAATTCTCATCATGAGTGTCTTTTGAAGAATCTTTTGAATAGGTACGGTACCGCCTTCGACATTGTCTTCAATCTCGCTATCGTTATACGATGAATCTTCCAAAAGTTTCCGGAAATGCTCGAGGTTCTTACTTTCGTGAAGGACTTCCTGAGCCTCTTCTGGAAGGACGTTTGGTTCCACGAAACTCAATGTAGTAAGTTCTGGATGCTTCTGAAGGCTTCGTGATTCGTCGAGTGGAGCCAGACGACCTACTCCACTTACGGTGCGAACTTCGAACGCCGAGGAGTCCAATCGTGGTCGAAACGCATAATCTGTGTAGAGCGATTTTATATATGGCGTAATTTGCCAAGCCTCGCCGATGCCAGCCGCGTTGATTCCAGTCAAAAATTGCCGACAAATACGGCATCGTAGTCTAAAAATTCGACGATCTTTAATGTACATATTTTATGCACGGTGAAAATATTGAGAGAGATACAAATTAAAATAAAAAATATATTTCTTTTTTTATAGCATACACATTTTATTGAAATAGAATTGATAATATTGATAATGTACTATTTATTATTACGCGAAAATTGAAAACCAATTAGTTGTAGGATTAGTAGTGTATGAAAGAACCGTTTTTTTTTTCAAAATATAAAAAAAAATTTAATCTGGTGTTAAACAAATATAATCGCTTTCTTACTTAAATGTACTCATTCATTTATATTAATTTATAAGATCCATTTAACAAAAAAATAATATTTAGTCATTATTAGAAATTTAATCACCATTTTTCATAACAAGAAATTCAGCTCTTTCAAAACAACGTGGTTTTGAAAAAGCCATTACCTGTTTTGAAAGAGCCAAGTACTAAATTATATTACTGACGTACTAAAATTTCCTGAATTGTACTAAAAAAGTAGAAAATCAATTGTACTAAAAAGAACTGAGTATGCAATGAAGGAGCCAGGCAAAGCAATGATAGAACTGGCCTTTTTATAGCTCTTAATATCAGCTCTTTCATAACATTATGTGTAAAAAATCTAATCACAGAATATCTGATAAACCAAAATAAACAAAAAAATTTGTAACTACGTTCTTAGTTACGTTAATGTAGGTATATAATATTCGATAAAAAAAAATACTTTTTCTAAAAATTAATCGTAAATAAATGAAAAAGACTTGGAAATTTAACTCAAGAAACTTTCTTTTTATAGCAATAATTTTGCATCTTTCATTACGACAACGCCTTTTTGACGATGACTATCAAACGTTTATGGACGATGAAATTTTAGTACTGCTATCAAATGAAAATATTTTTAAAATTTTGGAAATATTCAATTAGTTGAAATACGAAATGTTTCAACGAACTCTTTCAAAACATGTCTCTTTCATACCCATTCTCCCCTATGTGTATTTTCATTAATTATATTACATTAATAAAATGTACAAATTTGTATGAAAGCAAAATATTGAAAATATAAGATTTTATTTTCGCGTTGATGTAAATTTTTCTATTGTATTAAATTGCATGTTAAAATATTATAATTATAATAATCTTTTTTAATAAAATATGTGTGTGAAGCAGTATTTTTAAATAAAAACATCGTAATTTTCGTTACAATATTTATATATTCCAGGAGAATGCAAATTTTATTATAATTTTTATTTGAATGCATATCGCGTCCACTCATTATTGATACTCTAAGATAACGAACTTTTCTGCGAGGTTTTGTAAACTTTAATTTTTCTCATAAATATTTTTAACTTAAATATTATATTTTATTTGTTACCGTACTGCAGCATGAAACCGTGTAAGATTTATTTATCTAAAATATTAATGTGCCAAAGCTAAAAATATTAAAGAAATTGGTAATAAAAATAATAAATTAATATAGTGTAAAAAAAATTGGTAGAAGCTCAACCAATTTATATAGTGCGATCAAATTGGACTTTTATACGTTCCTTTTCTACAAATGGAGCTCACATTCGCGTATCGGTCTGATTGCTCGCGTTTACTGTGAATGTCACTAGCAACTTTCCACCAAAACGCTTTGGATTTAATGGAAAAAGGCCGACGATACACATTCAATGACCGTCCCGTCCGGTCGCAACGTGATCAAAGATTGCATCAAATCGTCCTCCAATGTGAACATGACCGATTCTCCATGACAAATATAATTTCCCAGGCCGTTTCCGTAGCATTATGTCGAGTTCCGGCCGATTCGCGTAGATCCGCCCGGACGATTGTTCGCCTGAGCACGCTTACCATAGCTCAAATACGCGTCAGATTTCCGTCGACGAAAGTTCAATGCTTCACGCTATTGCGTTGGAAATTATGGTAACAAAAAAAATTGTACACGTGGCGTTCCAGATATAAATTCCTTTAACATTTTACTTTTACTATGTTCTACTTTACAATTTTTTCTCATTTTTTGAAAAAAAATTGTTTTGCTTTTTTTATAAATTCTTCATATTTATGCAATGAACAGTTCAGATTTGACCCACGCGTATAATCTCAGAGACGTTACTGGAAGGGATCCAAAATTGTAAAAAAAAATAACGTGTTTTTATGAACTCAGAGCGTATGATACTCTTTCACGGGGCTGGCTTTTACTGACGAACGTTGACAGTTTCCGGTTACATGTCGAGTCATTCCTCCACAGTTATAGGCTCGCTCGTTACGTTGCGAACATCGGTAACAGACGACCGTTGACTCGAGCAGGAGGTCGGTATCTTCAGCGATATAGCGGAACAAATCTTCAACGCAGGACGCCGCTCTCACGCCGTTATCGCCGCACAGCGTCGCGTCGCACAGTTATACACGCGGTTTACAGTTAGATGCCGACGAAACCGTCTCGCAATTAGGGATCTTCTTTTAATTAGTCACGCGACGTGACAAGACATTGAATCGCGACGAAACTAGATGTTATTGTTTATCGCAGCAGAAATTGGAACTCGGAGAACACAAAGTGCATAGCGGGAAAATCATTTTAACGGGTCGTCTGCTATATTCAAGAAAGGATAGATGGAGAAGTCAAAATAAAATTAATTTGATAACTTTGTTACTCCATTTTAGACAATACATACTGATGTGTATATGTGTGTGTGTACGCGCGTATACATATATTTTGGTTTCAAAATTTAATATTTCAATTTATTATATTTTTTTAAATCGAATACCATTTTAGAAAACAGCGTGAAATCCATGCAAATATAAAGAAAATATATAATATAAAAATATATTAATTACATATGAATACGATATTAATACGATAAAAGTTGTATATTTAGATAAAAATATTTGTGAATCCTGGTTTAAATTTAAATTTACTTTAGATATTTGTTAATTCGGTGATAAATAAAATGCTTATTACAATGTGTGTGATAATAAAATTGCATTAATACTTAAATACCAAACGAAATAGTTAATTTTAATTTAGTTAAATATAAATTGTAAAAATATTTGAAAAGAAAAATGCATCGGTCTAAAAATTGTTGGGTCTAAATTTATAGATAGTAATAATGTTTCTTCAAACAATCATATTTTTTTATGACTTCACTATTAATAATTTAATCCGTATTAGTGTGAAAAAAGGGATTTAAGTATCAAATTAAGACAAATTAATTGCGATTGTATAGTAATTATAAGCGACATGCGTAATACAACTGTATCTCTTAAATAAAGAATAAACAAGGGGTTTGATATAATTCATGCTATAATTCAAAATCTTTATATTAAGTACAGATTTTATTCTTTGTAATTATTTGATCAATATATAACTGCACGGTAATTATTTTCTCTACATTACAACGTGATTAAATATTTCGTCAAATTTTAATTCATTCAATTTTCGTATAAATAATTTTAATTGGCTTACGTACCTTTGTTCAATAAGCTACTAAAGAATAATTTGGAATTCATTATGTTCATAAAAATTTATTACATTAAAGTTGTATCGTGCAAACACGTTGCTATAATAGCATTTGAAAAATTTATAAGTCACTGCAATTAACGTTTCGTGCATCGTACAGAGTGTGCAATTTAAAAAATTTACCGTGTAATAAAGTCTTTTTATTTTAGAAGGAGGTTATTTGAGAGAAGCGTTTCTCCAAGAATAGAATGTGTAAATCGGTAAGAGATCACCGTGCAGTTCTTTAAATTTAAGCAAAAAGGTAACAATTATACGCCAACAAATTAAACGTTGATAAAGTACGAACGCTGCGTTTAACCGTATTTAGAGAGCGCGAAAGGAGAATACATTAAATCGAAATCACATCTATGCTAAAGACCGAGGGAAATGTTAGTGTAAATTTTGATAAATGATGTACCTGTTATACACCTGTGGGTCTCGCGGATGTCGTTGACTGTTCGGAGTGACTGTGATTACTACCGCGCAGTAGTCCACAAGCGGTTGGTTTACCCGGGCTCCATATCTGCATACCGTTCAGTTTGTCGCAGATGAAACATGCCCACCCCTCTACCCACGGAGTCAACTACCGTTCACAATTGCTCGTCGTTTTTAACCGTAAGGCTTGCACCGAATGATAAACAGTCACGCCGGCTACCGGAGCAGTGCAATAACCGAAAATGAAATAGAACGCGGAACGTTATTGCCAAAATACCTGAATTCTGAATTTATCGCCGAAGGTTATAGACATGCAGATATGTACGTAGATATAGGATGATGTTAAATTGAGCTGGCAAAGATTGCAAATTTTATCGATTTGAAGGCATTTTTTTATAATTAAAATATATTTATATAAAATTAACTTCTAAATCATTAGTCAAATATAAAAATTATTTTTACAAATTAAAATTTAAGGATTAAATAAATAACGAAATTCTACTTTTTTGTTTTTATTTATTTGTTCTCTATTGATTTTAGTAAAATTTTAATTTGTAACTTAGTTAAATCTTAATTAAAATCATTTTAATGTATGCATAAAACTTTATCATGGTAAAATAAATTTTTATTGAATTTTTAAATTTAATAGGCTGTATAAAAGAATATTTCTTGATATAGAATAATCGTATAAAACTACAACTATAAAGTTTTATAAAGATAGAAAATGTTTTTATTACGTCTTATAATGTTCTATAGTAGATTTTATTGTTATGTACTTTCATTGCATTTCTCTACGAAGTGCTGTCATCTAGCGAGCAGTAAAGCAGAGAAGAGAGAAAAGATTCTTTCGATAAAGAACAAGTTTAGAAGATTGTAAGAGAGATAGTAGTATTTCTCTTTTTTATATAAATAAATATATAAAACTACGAAAAAAAATATAATGTATATAAATTTTTATATTGTGTTCACAATATTATAGCTTCCTTATTATTATGTTTCTTTATGCACATTTCTTCACGAAGTGTTGTCATCTAGCGGAGAGCAGAACAGAAAAGGAGAAAGGAGTCGATAAAAAGCAAGTCGGCAAAGTATCAGCTGAACGTAATCAACAAAGAGGTATACTAATTAAAATTTCAAGAAATTTCGCGATTTCAAAGCTTCTTAGAATTTTGTCTAAGAGTTCAAAACTCTAAACTCTTTAGAGTGAGAGGAATACTTAGCAGGAGAATATAATTAGATCAAGAGGTGACGGACAAGTTAAAACTCCAAGCATTGCAATTCCCAAAGTTTCACTTATTACAAATTTTCCTTCGTGTTGTGTGCAATGTGAGTAAGACATGCTTTCTAAAAAGGGACGGAATCGCTTACCTGTTTTCATAACTCAGTCTCAGTCTTAATAATATAAGTTACAAACGCTGCAATACGGACGAATCATGTTTCTAAAGAGGGACAAAAGTAAATCGGCCGTTGGTTTTTGGCTGCGTTTTCTTGCGAGACATTAAGCACCTCTCCATCTCTCGATGTTTTTCCCCTCTTAATGGTTTACGCGATTTCGCAACCGACGTACACAACATCCGATATCAACTAGGAAGATTGTTGAATGTTTTGTGAATCCTCCATTATCGCCTAGATACACGCATATAAAGGATAATTCCGTCGATGGATGTAAAAACGGTTATTAAAATACTTCACAAGGAGGAAAATAGATGTAGGACATGAGCTTCGTGAAATATTGTATCTTCTGTGAATTATTTTGTGAAATAAAATCTTTTTCTTATTTTTATTAGAAATGTTTTTTGAAATTAATTGTTAATAATAATACTTAATAATCTACTTAATAATCTTAATAAAAAAATTTTTATTGAGATTATTGAGTTAGATAAATTGTAACACAATTCGAGTTCAATTATCAATTGAATGCATACAGCAAACTTCTTTTACACATAACATCAAGAGGTCAGCAGGACAAGAAATCTTTCTAACGAGCCTCTTAGTACAGTTGAATAACCGCGGAAAGGGTTGTAATGCCTCGCGATGCCTTGTAGTAATTAGGCGCTTGAAGGGATGAACATGCTCGAAGAAATGAACGTGCCAAGAACTGCAGGATTCTTTTGCCTTTGGCAAGTCGTTAAAAACCAGTTCTAATTACAGACTGTGTCTTTGCTAATTACTTATTATAAGCTAAATAAATATTCCTACTTATCACACGTTTCTTCAATTAATATCTTAAGTATTGAAATATCGCATTACTAAAATGCTAAAATGCTAAATTAAAAAGTAAACATTAATAAGTAAAGATTATCGAATAAAGGAGCAAATTTGTTGTATTATGTAGATATTATGTAAAAGCAAGAAGGAAGAAGGAAAAGATTCGAAGACGGTTTAAAAGACGTAATATATTTTATTTAGACATTAATGATCCATAAAACATTGTTTATATATGGGGCTATAAACAAATAACTCTCGTCGCTACCATCTAATCGTGTAATAAATATCTTGTTTTACAAAAGAAAAAAACGCAGGAAGAGAAGCGCGTCAGGCCTCGTAAAAGCTCGACCGATTTTTTCCGATTGTCGATGATATTTTTTCGACGATTGCGTTGCATTTACGAATTGTGCAGGCTGTATTAAAAAAATGGTACCTAGGATATTCCAAGATCTTTGATATGCATGAATTACGGGAGCTGTCAATGGCAAATTACAATAGTAAAACATTAAAAATATTTAATTAATTGAAAATAAAATGTTACACTCTCCTGAGGAAAAGAGATCATAATTTATTCCACATTCATATACGATATATGTGCCTGTTTTGATTCGTACTCATGTTTTTTTAAATCAAGAATTACATAAATATTAAATAAAATTTGAAATAAAAAATAATATATAATAAAGTGCTAAAAATTCGTAAATATATAGACTTCTAAATATATATTTGTAAATTTACAAATTTATTATTTTATGGCACTTAAATTGTTACATTAAAATAATTATTTAAATTATTTAAAATTACTTGTATATACAAATATAGATTTACAGATTTATGCATTTATAAGTAAAGTAATACAGAATTGTAATAACATAGAATTTGAGTAACAGCCGCCAAACAAAGCCTCCTTTCTTCTCGCTTTCTCTATGCTACGTTTCCTTCTTAAAATAGATAACAATTATGTAAATCGTGTGTAGTATGATTGATTAAAAATCTCAAAATGAAAGTGAATCAGAACGGAGCAGATAACAGCAGAGAAATGGACTTGCCGTTTTAATAATGATTGAAGTTTAAATTCGCGCGCGCGCGTATCGTAATTCAGTTATTAGTTCGCCATTGACATCATATTGTTTATTGGGGGAGATATGTTGTTTCATAAATAATTAAATTGGTAATCTATATTTTTAATCTACACGCATGTGCGAACGCTAAGAAAGGAAGATACAAGTTTCTTTGTTTTCTTAACAAATAGCTTTGCCAATATTTAAAGATTATTTATATCCGGTATTATCATTGATATAATATTTATTGAATAAAAATTAATCCTCACTGGAAATTAATTAATAAGTAAATAATTTTTAGGATTTTTCTAGAAATATTGAATCCATTAATGATTCTTTTTAGCTAATACGTTGTCCACAAATAGTCTTATGTTCAATATTTTTGCCATCAAGATGACAAAAGCACTTGATTTTATATAGTTGAATGATAATAAACTTATATTGTATACAATCTTTTAAATATAAAATTATCTGATTTACAATTGCATCATGTGAATTTGAAATCTCGTGGTTGATAAATTTCAGACCTAGAAGCCAAATACAGAATAGTACTTAATAATAAAAGAATTTATAACTCTGAAAATTTAAAACTTTAACTCCATATAGTATATACTTTCTGGATGAATAAATATAATGTTTTGTAGCTTCTTATATGGAAGCTGCAAATTTTTAAGAGATATAACATATATATATATAAAAGTAGATAAAACATTTTTTATGAGATATGAAATCTAGAAATTTTAAAATTCATAAGTTTAGAACAATACTAAAAACTCGAATGTCAGATGCGAAAAACTTTAAAAATAAAATTTGAATATTAAATGTAACAACTTTAAAAATAAAAGTAAAAGGTTAATGCAATTACAATAAATAAAAAATTTATAGTTTTTAATGAATGAAACAAACAAATAAAAATTTTTTTAATTCACAATTTAATTAACATTTTTCCAATAAACGATATCAAATGTAAATAGTTAAACTCCGATTTTCTATTATATTTTTCTCCCATTTGGGTTAGTCTTCAATTAAAGTTTGAAGGGGAATTGCAAGTGCATAGAGTCCAGAATGAAACTGATACTTGTTTCTTTTTGGGAAAATGATCGATATTCGATCAGCCGGCATAGACCACGGGATCTAACGATCCTGAGTATAATTTGTTAGGCAATTAAGCTATATACAAACGGGTGCGTTATCCTTAAAGGAGATCGATATGTCTCGTTGGTTGGCCGGGGAAGACCGTTCCGATGAATATTCTCTTTTTATCTTTCCTTTTTTTTTCTTTTTCCTCATTTATTCTTTTGCCGATAATGAACCATTGGTCAAGGCCATCACCGTTCCAGAAGTTGTTCTTGAATTCGTGTCAGAATTTAGTTCCAAGGACGAATCCTATAACAGAATTATGCAAAATGATTTAAATAATGGCCTAGAGAACATTTATTTTGGAAATTGTGAGATATTTGCTATAATAGTAAGATAATACAATATTTCTAATAATATTTTTAATATCATAATTTAAAATTATTGTATTCTTTTATTGGATTATGAAGCTCTATTTAAATTATGAAATTAAAATTTACATATTAGGAAATGTAATGCTTCGACAATTATAATATATCCGTGGTCGTTAGCAGAAATCAGAATGATATGGTTTATCGCGCGTGTGGAAGAAAAGGAAACTGCGATGACATCACTGTTGTCGGCGTTGTCATAGTCGTCGTTGGCGTCGACAACGCCGATTTACGACGCTTCTGTTAATATGCACTCAAGAAGTACGAGTCTCTATCGTGGATGACTGCTTTTAACTGCTGTGTAGCGAAAGCGACGTCAGTCATTAGTACTATGCTGGTTCCATTACGATCTTTACGCTCTTTACGATCCTCCCGACACGTGATCTAAGTCGATGTTTCTGTCATCGTGCCATTTTCGGTTGTGCATCGTGTTAGAGAATCGCGTTCCTTTATCTTTCTTATTGCTTAAACCGCGGGTTTCTTACTTTTTATTTTTATTCGTATTGCAATAGAATGAATAAAACGTATGAAAAAGAGAGAAAGAACACTAGGCAGTTAATAATACGATACAATTGCGAAGATATATTAATTAGGGATTATTTTTCCTAATTAAACTTTATATTTAAATAATTTTTATATTTATTTAAAATATTATTTACTTATTTTATTCATAATTTATATAATATAATTAATTATATAATTTATATAATATGGCAAATACTTTTTACCATAGTATTATAAATCCTTTGATTAAAAATGTTTTTGCCATTATCAATTTCTTCATATGTCCTTAATGCTGTTTCTCGAATGCAAAGTAGAGAAAAACTGAAAACTCACAATGCTGAGAGTATGCATGATGCATGCCTGCGTAGTGTTCTCGACGTGGATCAATTCGTCGCAGTCTTCGTGATCCAACCCGTTAACGTCAGATCGAATCTTGATCGGCGACAGAGCCGCTTCGTTGTCCGTTGACTTGCCACTGTCGGGGGACGGTATTAACTCATGTCCATCAAGTTCCTCTTCCTCTGCGCGCTCTTCGCAATCCGTAGCCTTGATTTCCTGTCATAGATTCCATAGATTAATACTGTTACGCGAGATTATCGCAGACGGGAAACTGATTAACGAAGGTATCTGCATTGCAATCATTTATCCTCGCAACAAGCTGCAGTGTATGGTTATGATAGGAAGTTGCAGCAACGTTACGTATTGCTGCGGATGCTCATTTGTTAATAAGCGACGTGTTACGATTAACATTAGCGATTTTATCATCTAAAAAAAATACCATTTTTCTCTGTCAATTCTAAAATTTAGCACCCCATATATATTTCAAATATAGCAGCGTTTTCTAGAAAAACTTGGTACGACAGAAACACATTTGATTAGATTTCGATTAATCATCCGAATGCCGTTACAAAATTTCATACTTCCTCTGTATCCTTTTTCAGACGGGTAAACTTTTCTTTCATGTAATACATTTTTCAGTAACAACGCTATCGCGTTTTTAGTACGTAAAAAGAAAAAAAATTGGTTAAACGAAAAATTCTTTATCCTATTATTTTGTACAAAAGTGTATTAGATCCTACGAGCGAGTAGTTTCTGCGATATTTAACATCAAAAGTACGATTTTCGGTTTTGCTATCTGTCGATGGGAAAACTGTTAAGGGGAGAGATGGTGAACGAGTGGCGGGAAAATGCCATCACCCGAGGGGGCGCGGAAAAATATTACTTCGTCATATGTTTCTCTGTCGATACGTCAACCCCAGAGTTAGCCTCGATGGAATCGACGTGTTTCGCGTCGGTCACTGGGGTTGCTTTTGCCGAGTGCAAGAGCGCACATACCCCCTTACTCCAGTTCTATACAACTTCGTGAAAATCGTGCACGTCAAGCGTCGTCGAGAAGACTGTCTGCGTCGTCGTCCGTCGGATATATCTCGTGTCTCAGACGATGCGTATCGTCACGATGCCTCTTTGTTGTTTCCTTGGATCGCCTCGTGATGCTCCGATAAATGTGACGGAAAAGTATGTGTCGTTTTGCAGAAATGGAAAGAGAAAGAGAGAGAGAGAGAGGAGAGAAGGACGACGTTGAAATGAACTGCGAAACGACGAAACTGATCTTTTTAGAACGATTGAGTTTCGATACCGGCGACTTATTTATTGCATAAGAATTTATATTAGTTGAACAAATCAAATCATATAATTAAGAAAATAATGAAGATAATTTCGAAACAAGTTTGGAAACTAGATATTCTTTACGATATAAAAAATTCCGAAGGTTTAATCTAGAAATCTATTTACCGTATTTAAATCGTTTGAGAGTTCACGATAAATAGATATTTTTAAATATATATATATATATATACATATTTCAATAAAATATTTCATATGAAAAAAAATAAACTTTGGATTATGGCTCACCAAAGAGAGAATTGGATTATTGATAACATAACATCAATACTACAGAGCAAGTAATTCAATCGTCGGTTGGTAATGAAACGCAAATTAATTAATGAAAGTGAGAGAATATTACTTATTTAAATGATCGGCCGTCGCGCCAGGCTGGATAACTAGGTACACCTACGGGACAGTCAAATATTTCCGTTAATCTCACGTTTTAATTACTCGAGAAATGCATGTGCGACGATAAAACAATTCCGGATATTCGTTAATGACAAATACATTAAATATGATCTGAGAAAATAGAAACTTTGTGAGTCAATATATATACATATATATTCCTCGATTAAAATATATTACGATATTATATTATTAAACAAATATGCAACAATAATTAAAGAATTACACTGAACCAACATTGCTTTCGCTCTTACCACATTTTATTCATACTGATTCTACTCTTTCTTGCTGTTGAACGAAGAATTGGTTCGGAATCCTAGACATCAATTTTGTAATTTAAAATTATGAATTGTATTTTGACTATCAGATGTAACTTTTTGACTGCTTGCGTAATGTAGGTCTGATATTTTTCTTTACTATGTTATGTATCGATATTTTCTTCCTCAAGAAAAGAACGATTTTGTTGGAAATTTAAAAATTAAGTTAAATCTGAAAATAATTTTATTAGACCTTTAAAACAATTCTATAGAAAACTCCAGCCTGATAAGCAATGTGAAAAGTTTTGACATTTTAGCAATCTAATCAGTTTGAACTTTGAACGTCTTATATAATTATTTTGACAATTTAATAAAATTATTTTCAGATCTAATTAAATTTTTAGATACTAGTAAAATCGTTTCTGTCGATTTTATTTTGTAATTTTTACGGTTAAAAGGATTAAGTTAAGTTCGAAACGGTTCCATGAGTTTTTTGTTATTATTGTGAATAAAATATTAAGTCATTTATTTTGACTCATTAAAATTTCATCTTAAGTTAATTTCTTTATTGCTTAGCATAAAAACGAGCGGTTTTGAATTTTAATTTTTAAGATACTATTAATTTCACTGAAATTATCAAGCAATAATCTAATTACAAGCAATAAAAAGTAAAATAGACATTCAGTGATTAAAGTGTAAAATGTCTTGTTTTGAATCGCTTTGCCTCGAGAATTCTGAGCTCCCCTTTTACAGTTGTTCGTTCCACCCTTCGCCATTCCCGAGGCGGAAACTATTAATTCTTCAGTTCGGGCTGCGCGATTTTGTAAAATATTGCTGCATGATGTCGGCGTAAATAATAAATCTCAGACAGGACGTAAGAGGAGTGAGAATTAACCTGGAAATCCTGCGGGGAAGGCGACGACTCCTTCGGCTGGTCAAGGCTAGGGCTCCGTGACGGGCTCGGCGCTCTTGTGCCCAACTCGTAAATGTTGATCATGTGAGCTGCCTGGGCATGGACCATCAATTCCCAAGCACTTGGAAAGGATAACTTGCAGAGGACGCAGAGCAATGCCGTCGTCGAGTCTCCTGTTCGTACGGAAGCGCGGGACGTTAATAAATAATCTAAAGATACCGTAGTGATGTCACACAGCGAGCCACATCGAGGGCAAAATAAGACTGATTTCTCGAAACGATGTCATGTGCAACAAATAAATATTATATTGCTCAATAGACTTTTATACAAGTTCCGAAGCGAGATAATGCATTTATTAGTGCTGTCAATTTAATCCTCCATCGACAATGCGGGAAATCTTTTAAGACACATCAAAATTTTTTTATTATGAATTTTTAAAGAAATGAATAGATAGTGTGGTTCAGTATTACTAGCTACAAAAGTTTGATCATTGATATTAAGATTGCATATATACAAGTAGTCAAATGTATTCTTTCCTTGCAAATACAAATAGAATCGTATCTGTGCCCTCAGTTCATCAGACCCATGTTGCAGATCACGTAAGATTTTTTGCAAACAAAAATTTAAATTCTTTTTCGTTTTATATCTTTTTGTGATGCTAATTTCAATAAGTATATAAAAATTTTACTTTTTCAAAATAGACTTATTAATGTTTCATATCATTTTTTCACTAATATAATTGCAAAATCATCATTTATGGAGATCATGAATTTATCAGATCATGAAATACTCGAAATTGAAGAAACTCCTTCAGACAGACTTGTTAAATTAGAGAAACGCAAAAGATATTCATTTCGTCAAAATGATAGAAGAACTATGTACTGCACCTTATATTAATAAATCGAGGAGAGCATTGTATATATATTATTGTACAGGCTGTACCATATAATATTTTTATTTTGGAATCTTTGTACTCATTTTGATCAAAATAAAAAGAATTTAATATTAATTTGCTATAAAAATATAATTTTCTTAAATAATAAAATCACTTGATTCTTTTTACTCATAAAAATCTTTATTTCTAAATGTTCAAATAATTCAACCTTTTAAAACCAACATCATTATATTATCTTTTTTCTGAAGTGTATGTAGGTACTCAAATATTGTAGTCTAAAAAGTTTTTTTTCATTTACTCATAAAAATTATGAATTTTTAAAATCGTGTCACTTTTTTTGAAACTTTTACATTTAAATTTGTAAATAATAAGTAAAATACAAAACGGCTTCTATTATGGTAAAAACGTGTTGTTAAAAATTTTACAAGTATATACGAATTTTTTCAGTTTTTATATATAATCTAGAATAAAAAGATTTGCTGTGGGGATTCAGATTGCAGACTATAATTGAAAATTTCACATTGCCGGTGGAGGGCTATGTTGTTTACAAAAATGTTCTTCGTTTAAGTTAAATTTGAGTCAATACAATTTTTTTATTAATTTTGTCTCATTTTGTCCTTTTTTTGATTCAACAACATAATTCGAGCCGCCGTAAGGAAAATGGAATTTGTACGTAATATGTTTATTTTTCTTTTAATAAAAATAAAATGTCTAAAATTGTTTAATTTACAATAATGCAACACAACAAAACACGCTCATTTAATACGTTCATTTTAACGGAATATGTAAAGGATTTTACGCGGTACTCATCTCTTGTTTGCGTAATTTAATTCGCCATGCAAAGAGGCATAAATTTGCTATCAATTACGTCAACCAATTAATATCAAATTTAATGAATGTAAGTAATCTGTTTTAATTTAAATAGAAATATAAGTTCTGATTAAACAACACAATGACATCGTAAAAAGTTGTCCAACTATTAATTATGATCGACGAGAATAACCGCCGATTAAAATTGTAGGCGATGGGCAATTATTAATTCTGGATCTTCCGGTGGGATTCGGAGCGCGTTTACGTACCGGAAGGAGGCGCCTCGAAGTTTATTTCGAGTACATACTTGGGGCGGCTCCGTTGAAGGTGTGACATTTACATGTGAACCGCAGCTTGCAGTAGTTCCGCTTGTGTTCCAACAGCTCCCCGAGTTCCGTGAACATCTCCCTGCAGTTGCCGCAGATCAGTATATCTGGATTGCCTACGACATACCTTCAATTAAACCCAGCCTTCATTGCTCGACAAGGCTTTGGGACTCCGTGTTACAAGGAGCTAACTTATAAACTTAGAGAATAATCATTGCATAATGATAATAATAATGATAACATTAATTTAATTATACATATATACCATGATTTTGCAATGGAAATATAGATATGTCGAGATACTGCTTCTAATCTGTAATTACACGCTGCAATTATACGCTGAAAATGACTCAAAACGAAGCCGGTACGTTTCTTGTAATACATCACCTTTATATTATAATTATGAATTTTAAAGAAAATTTTATTATTATTTAACATTATTATTTAAAGAAGTAACACATCTTTAACCGCGATAGATTCAGATAGCCCTTGTATTAAGGTTTTAATACCTAGACATGTTGATAAATTCACCATTTCGCCTTATTAGATCCAAATATTCGACTTTGAAGAAGGAGAGAAGGTGAAGCACATCGCAAAGCTAACAACGAAAGCGTATTGTCTCGAATGCAGTACTTACTGTACACTTTAAGTTGATTCAAGTCGGGTATCGTGCCGGTGTTTGCTGTCAATTGTTGTTTCTGTAGCTTCGGATGCTGTGCTCGTGTCGGTGGCATCAAACGCGGCCGTTTTAACGGCGGTGCTAAGCGCGGCGGAAACGCGGTCGACGCGTAATAACTGTAAACAGAAGGATGTTTTGCAAAATACATTAGTATGTGCTTTACGCCAGATTTCTGCGTGCATTCACATTCACACTTGCATATACACACATATATACGCGCATATTTTTGTGTCTTCCTCCCCCCCTCTCTCTCTCTCTCTCTCTCTTGTTCTCTGTTTTTACAACATTGATTGTCTTTCAGCCTGTTGTTACTTGCTCTTTATACTTCGCATTCTAACATTATATGTCTATTATTATTCTTCTCTTTGATGTTGACAATTAAATAAGAGTCTACATCGACAATTTCGTAAATGAACAACCGTATAAACCGTTCTGCAAACGAGAACATTTCCTTGAATATATTTAGCTATACACACGGTGGAATAAATGTACAGCATTAAATGCATTTTACAGAATCGCGAGATCCCGCAACGAGAACTTCTTTAAAAGACTTCCCTTTGTCGCAGTATGTAACACGCCGCAACGGTGTTGCATGTCATTTTTATTTCGTTATTTTATTTTGAAGAAAAAACTTTAATTCCTCTTATAATGTTTCGCGCTTTCCTTTCTTTTTCTTCCCTTAAATATTTTATTTAAATGAGAAAAGTGTGAACAAGTTGTAATCTTTTGTAAACAATCGAACAGAAACGTAATGTATTCAACTTTAAAATAATCATATTATCTCTTTAGAATAATTGTGTTATTTAATCAATGAGAATCATGATACACGTATATTACTTTTCTATAATGTTTCAATTAACTTTGTTATCAGAGAATTCTGCTAAAATTGGAAGCGTCAGCTTTAAGGAAGCTAAAGCGATTGTTGCTTTAAAACTTCGAAGGTAGAAGCACGCGGTAAAATAAATTAGATTTGAATAATTCAGGATGTATCCGGTAATGCGGTTCCTGCGAATTAAGATCGAATTACCTCGAGATTTTTCTTTCGACGGTATCACTTTGCGAGATAAAATCGCACATCGTATTATGACGGAAGAGGAATCGATATTTCACGCATAATAAAAATGTGAAAATGTCACGCTAATTACACCGTAACTGGAAATCGTTTTTGGAGTTTTGTGAATCCCCTCGTGAACAATCTTCTGACGAACACGTGCGATGATAATTATTCTATTACAATAATAGAGCCGTACGCTCATAGTCCATTAGCAGCAATTGGTGAACGGTAACGAGGGCATATGATATTCTTATTACGACATGCAAAATATCGAGAATATCATGGTAGATGGATTTTGTACGAGATGAATTTCGCTTTACGAGAATAATGCGGAATACACGCGTATGACTTTACAATGTCAGAGTTGCCGCTTGCCATAAATACTGGAAATGCAAATTTGTAAATTACCTTTGCACCTCGTTTTATTACTAATAAGGCGAACACGTTTCCGCGTACCTTTGATTGGATTTACGATGCCCGAAATTTTTTATCCGTTTTAAAAATTATAATTCAAAATTAGACCGATGAAAATAAATCAATTAAGAAATATAATCTTATTTTCAGTCAATTTTCAACGAGATTCTTAGTGCTTAATAATACTAACATGTAAACTTTTGCAAATAATTTTTTTTTTTCAGTTTTAAATCTCTCTGATTTTTGTTGGACTTTAAATCAATCGCAATTGCAATCGTAATTTCAAACTAAAATATTAATATCTTAAATTAGATTAATTGTCAATTTTAATAATGATGCTAATAAGTTCTTAAAAACTTGTGAATAATTTATTGCGAAAAATATTATTATACTTCACAGTCAGAGATTTTCGCAATAAATTATTTACAAGATTTTAAGATGATTATTAGCATCATTATTAAAATTGATGATCAATCTAATTTAATCCTATTAATATTTTAGCTTTAATTTGCGTTTTAAATCTAATAAGTTTATAAAGCTGAAAAAATGTATCTGGAAAAATTTACATATTAATATCTATTATTAAGTAAGATCCGTTTTGACCGAAAATAAAATTATTTCTCTTAATCGTTTTATGAAAAATTTCCCTTCCCCCTCCAAAGAAAAGAGAATAACACCGCATTGTCTTTTTTCAAAAACAAATTGTGGACAAATTACACTTTTATGGAGCAGAAATTTAGGGAGATTTAATTTAATTTCTTTATCTCCGGCGAGTATGCGGGGATTAAAATCTTTACTGCGTCAGTTTATCCTCAGATTATGTTTACTTTTTTATTTTCTTTGCGTTATACTTTATTTTCTGTTCGTTTTAAATCACCATCAATCACGCCTTGATGTAGGTATATTTAACCGCTAAATATAAAATTGTCGATATGAGACTCATCGCTCACTCGATCTCGCGTGTCACATGATTACACAATGTGCTTGTGAAATATTTCGTCTTTTAAATACTTGTATTAAAACACGATCCATAAAGTACGAGATCTGTCGTTTTATATTAAAAAAAGATCGTGTAACATGTTTTGTTCGATGTGAACGAAAGCTCACACGAAAGCCCTCAGATCGTAAATAAATAAATAAATAAATAAATAAATAAATAAGATGTCTACACATTTCTTTGGAAGATTTTTAATTATTGATTTTCTTGTTTGTTTATAATGCATTAGGCAACGTAGCAGTGTCTCGACATTAAGTACATAATGAATAGGAATCGGAAATGCCTTCACAGCGACGTATTTGCTGAAATCAGATATACATGCTACTATATATGTAAAGCAATTCAATCATGTCACAACAATGCACAGAAAAGTAATCGATATCTAGTTCTCTATTGTTATTATTGTATCGGTTTCGTAGCCGATTTCAACGCCTTCCATGGAAACAAAGTCTGAATCCTGACAATAAAAATATCATGTTACTGACATATGCCAATGCTCACGTCGTTACTGTCGGGCACTGCCGATTCCTATATTCTCTAGAAAATTTTAACGTTTTATTTTCCGGTAAAGATCTCAAGAAATTAAAAATGTCACCAGAAATCAAATAGAGCTTTTATATACTTATGGTGTGTATACTACAATATTTTATAATTTCGACTTTATACTATAATACATTATTTTATACATTTGATTCGAAGTGTTCGTAACTTTGATTCGTATACATCTTTTATATTTTAATGAAATAGACTTTGTTATATAATTTATAGGATTTGTTCCATCCTTTCTTGAAGGATACAACAACCGATGAACGCAATAGATCATTTTTATGGTCTCGCGAAGAAAAACGAAGGTGTTATTTAAGGATTAAACTAGTAAAGGAGGTACAAAGGAGTGCGCGTGAATTCGTGCCTTCTTGCCGTTGTTAAAAGTTCTTTTAAGACGAGTTTCGCTCTCTTCCTGGAAGTCGCGAATAATAGCAGAGGGTCGCGACAGGCGAAAAAGGATGATCGAGAAAAAGTGGGAAAAAACCTACAAGGCATCATCTTCGACGTTGTTCGATGTTGTTCCCTAGTATGTTTCAACAGTTTTAACATGTTCCGAAGTACCATCCAATTATCAGCCAAGTCAGCTGTTTCCTTCACAGTAATTACTCGACAAATCTTTGTAGACAAACTTTTCTAAATTATTTTCAGATATTACGAACGTATTTGAATGAAACATTCGACGATCAAATGTGAGAGATTTGCACGAAGTTAGAAATTAAAAGAGTTTTACGGTGTTGCACGTGATACATAATTATAAACTAAAGCACGAATGTGAATAGGAAAAATATTTTTTTGTTAAGTTAAATTATTACTGTATACAATACCAAATATTTTATTTTTTAACTATTAAAGTATTTTAAACATTTTTCGAAGGATATGAGGAATTTATGTAAATCCAGTAATACGTACCGCAAGATTTTAATCTTGTCTCTATCAATGTGCCCTGTATTAAAGCTATGAGAACGTTGTATTATGAGTGTACATTGAAATAAGTTTAATTGAAATAAAGATTTATGTAATATTAACTTAAATAATTAGCTTAAATTTATTACCTGTTGTAGTAATTATATGTTAAAATGAGTTAAAGTCCGAGTGTGCGGATATATATATAGGCATACAAATTGGGGGCACATTAATAGGACCATCGCCGCTTAGAGGGACAAAAACATGTTTTTTATTTTTATCAAAAACATTATAAAGTATTAACATTGTTTTAGATTAAAGAAATATTATAAGAAAAAGAAATAGTTGAAAAACCGATATTGATTTCAAACAGATAAAATTAAAGCTACAATACTTAATAATTTATTCAACAAGCAAATATTGGCTTAAAGGCATATTATTAGGGACAGTTACCCTAATTATTAATTTTAATTTTAATTTGCCTCTTTTTGTGTAAAAAATGTTTGAAGCCTTAAATGATCAATTCTTACAGTTTTCCAAATTGGATAAATGTCTAATCAATTATCAACGTATCTAGGTCGCATATGTAAAAGTCCAGTTATATTAACGTTACGACACCATACATCCATCCATTTTGAGGCTTCTAATTGCCGTAATAGACGTAAGTAGGTTAGTATCGAACATATTAGATCATTCTTACATACATGAGTAATTTCTATCGTCTCGAATCGTTCTTACCACAATGGAGAGAGAATAATATGCTACATAATTTAATTTATCTCGGCTCGAATCGTAGAGCAGATCTCGTGAATTTAAAAAAAATCGCAAAAATTTCAGAATAGTACGTGAAATATCCAATCTCTCTGTATATAATATTCCATGTTATTTTAGATTCCATACTGTTTAATCGAGCGCGCTCAATCTCGGTCCGGGGACGACGTGCCCGCCGAAAAACGACGCCGACGCCGGCCGTCCACGTCGTCGCGTCTCCACTTTATACGACGGCGGCTCTCGGATATGCATGTATTCAGATTAGACAACGCGGAGGGAGAATTTGTCGGATAAATTCAGCCGGGGGTAGTGGCCGGGGGCCGGCTCGCGCTCCCTCTAACACACTGGATTTCATTAAAATTCATTCGGCGCGGCAAGCTGTCACATGCGCCACGGATGTACAGACGGACGAGCGAGCTAATAGGCTTACC